CTTTTTAAAGACAACTATCTTTACGATCACACAGCTGAAAACTCTTCTCTGTAAATCTGCTGCCTGATGATTTTGCTTCAGTAGGAAGATATTGATTTGACCTGCATTTAAAAAACTCAAGTGATCTTATTTACTCAAAATATGCGCTTCTGCTTTTAAATTACAGGTGCAGTGGTATAGCCAAATTGTATTCCTATCTGCATCTCTGATGCAATAACATTTTCTTTCTTTCAATACTGCATGCAAACATATTTCAGCAAGAAGAACATAATTTGTCAGTAATCAGTTCTCGGATGTCTCAACACTACGATGGCAATGTTTGTGTTTTTCTGTAGAGCAGTGCATCTATTTCTCTATCTCTGGATCCTACTGATGTTTTCAGGCAGAATTTTTTCCTGCACATATTTCGGTACTGTGTACATTCGTTTATGTGTGAGAGAAGAAAATATTATCATGTTTAACTGCTACAATCATAAGCACATTAAGTAGACAGATAATAAACAATCCATCTGAATTTATGATTAAGTTAATTGTCTGTGTTTTTCTAACATGTTTATTCAGATTAAAGACTGAAATTAGAATGAGACTATATAATTAAGAGACCTTAAGAGACTGTGTGATTCCCATAAAATAAAAATTAATTTAGTTTAGGGGGATAGCAAAGATCTCTGCAACACTTAAATGTCGCTTAGATGGTGAAGAGGCCTTGTGCAATTCTCTTCAAAGAGATGAATCTCAGTTGTAGAAAGAGCTATCAAGAAACTCATGTGACATTGAGGGCTTCAGCACCTAATTTTTGCATATGCCCTTCTGCCCAGCAGGCACCAGACTCCCAGATCCAACTTTCTGTATAGCCTACATAGAGGATTGGGTAACTAGGAGCAATAAGCTAATGAAAGAGATGAGGAAACATGAAGAATTTAAGTGGGAAAACTATTAGATGAAATAGGGAGAAGGGACCACCCCAATGTACGTATGGCTTTCCCACTTGCATTGGGGACTTCCAACAGCTGCTCCTGAGGCAGAGCAGGAGATGCTCTAGTCTTTTCCTACCTATGAGCGAGATAGCTGCTGGTGGGAGCAGCTGGTGGATTGAGTATAGCCCAGTCTCAAAACACTCTCTGGCTGCTCTCAGCAGTGTGTTGAGACCACTTGTCAAAGGGTTTCTACCTTTTACTGGATAGTTGAATCTCTAGCAGGAGCTAGAGCCAATTTCCTGCCCTTCATGCAGGTGTCTTGACTGTTGGGCTGTAGTGTGCTTTTTTCTCTCTGGACCAACCAGCTTTAAGTAGTCCACCCATAGGCATTTAGGAATCTCCTAACCACAATATTACATAGAGTATCTGATAGCTGGGGTTGAGAGTTTCCTTCTGGAAGGTGTGAATTGGAGTCTTTTCAAGCAACCATTTGCTCTCAGCACAAATATGAAGTCACAAGAACTACTTACTAATCACTAAACTGTTCTGATAAGGAGTTTATGTCCAGTATTTTATTATTAGACATTTAGGGTAGTCACTCCTAATGTCTAAATATCTTCCCATTTGTATTTAATTCTAAACAGTTATTTCAAAAATAGATGGAAAAATAATTCCTTTGAATCTCAGCTAACAATGAACATTAAAACTAATTCCACTTTTGATCTTCCTCTCAACTTTTCCTGTAATATCTTCCATCAGCAATAGACAACCAGCATGGCCAGGATTTAGCCCATCCCACTGTGTTTTGTTTTGAGTACTTATAAGTAGTTGTATTTTGGAGAATGATGGCAAATATTCAATGAGATGAGGGGATGCCTATTTTTTCACAACTTAATTATTCTTAGTCTAAATATTTAATTGAACCCCTTCAATAGTAAGGGCTTTCTCACACCTCTGTGACTGTCAGTCTGGATATGTGTATCAGTGTATATATAATCTTACAGGCCTATAAAACACCTTCTGAAAATGTCATGAAAATGGCACTGAACTGCTCACACCCATCTTTATCCTGCCTTCAAGCTCAGGGTAAATCAGGCCTGCACAGTGGTGGTCTTGATGGGATTTCTATCAAGGAATTAAGTTTTATAAATGACCTAAATGCTCATTAATGGGTTTTTAATGTCTGTTTTTTCATAGTTTTTAAATATCTAATACAAAATTAGACACAGAGGTCTTACTGTCTCCCTCCAGAAGAAACTGGTTATAACACAGAGGACATTTGTATTACTACTCCAGATTAGACAGAATACTAATAATAACTAATTTTTTTGAGCTTCCAGAAATTCAGGGTAAAGTTCACAAAAAAAAAACCAATGTTGGGCTCCATTTACCTTGAAGACAGGTAAACCACTCTGAGAAGGGAATACATGTGTTGGAATCTAAAGCCAACAACAGCCTTAATGGGGAGCAGTTATACATACAGTCAAACATTGAAAACTATGAAGCTTCTGAAATATTTAATAGCTTTTATTAGTACTGAATTTTCTTTACCATCCAGGTTACTTAATTCTATTCAGTACAGGCAGCTTTCTAGCTTGTGACACCTTATATCTAGGAGACCAATTTGGCATTTGACCCTTCCCTTTATGAATTGAAGTGGTTAAAATAAGGCATGTTGTTTCATTGCTTCTGCCTCATTGATGCCCTAAGATGATTACAGGTATCTCTATTAAACATAGTGGGACAAATGAAACCTTTTGCAAGCCAATGCAGCTCAGTTAATTAAGCTTTAATGGAATTAATCACTGCTTTGATACTGACCCTTAGGCTAAGATTTTCTGTGCACCACAGTTTGCCGTCATAAGTAGGAAGAGTTGTGGAAGCCCTTGGATATGTATATTCTGTCCTAGCATGTCTATTGCTGTGAAAGTCAACTACTAATGAGGGTCTATATTGTTGTTCCATCTTTTCTCTACTGATGCAACTGAGGGCAAATTTCTGAATTTTTGCCCAACTACAGTAAAGAATAGAATTGGTCTGGAATGCTTCCAGGGGTGAATGAAACAGGTCTTCCCCAGCGTTGGCACTTGAATGAAATAGACTTTCTTCTTCCTTTGCAGAACAAATTTACTTAAGGCAATCAAAGCTAAATAAACCTTCACTTAAATTTTTGCAGTCGATATCTAGCAGAGAAGTATAACTTTAAACTTAACCCTATCACCCAGAGAAGTGTCACTGTCTTTACTGTACATCCATTCCACTTTTGTGGCAGTATTCAAAGTCTTATATCTCCAAGGGCCCTCCAGTTCAAAGATCAAGGACCACTCAGCTTATAAAACTATAATTAGGAGTGGTGAGCTGGGACCATTGCAGATTTCATATACTCCCTCTGCATTGGAAGAGAGTCTTTAAATCTGCTGGTTTACAACTTAAAGGAAGGGTTGTCTTGATTAATTCATTTGGTCATAGTCCTGAAGCTGACAGGGCATCTTCCAGGAATTTGAGCCCCCTGGGATCCTTGTCATCAGTTTTTGAATGCTTTTTCTTTTTGTATGTGTGTGTGGTGTTCTTATCTGGAAGCAGTCTGCTTGGATTTCAGCATTCATCTTATAAGCATTTTGGCATTTTCTGTTACATGAAGCTGAGAGGTATTTCTTTGTTATCAGTCCTCTATAAAGCATTTCAATCCAATGCCTTAATTCAGGCTGGAAAAACAGTGAAAAAAGCAAAATTCAGGAAGCAAGTGTCCAAATGTGTATGTAAAACTGCATTCACTGCCTTTGGAGTTTTTACAAAGGAATTCTAAAAATGGCATTTAGCTCCCTTAATGTAGGGCTGAAAGCTGGATCAGAACTCTCACCTGAGAATAATCTCATAAGTGCAAGCCTTGTACTTTTACATCAGCATCTACAAACCGGGTAAAACACTGTCAGGTTGTGAGAACTGGGAAATGCCCTGCGTGTCCCCAGGACAACTCTCCTGCAAAACCAGCCTCATGGCATCATGTCCTTCCTGTTTTATTACTACTTGTAAAAGTATCTTAAAGCCCCTGAGTAACCAGTGAGAGGGGCGTATTGGGGAAAAGACATTTCTGAGTGCTGAAGTACAGGTTTTGCCATTACCCCCGAGGATATAACTGAAGAACCAAGCGGTGGGATGTTTTGGTATGGTGCAGTTAGGAATAGCCCCCTGTATTGGATTTCTGGGAGGTACCACTAAGAAATGTGGCACAACCTCACCCAATGGAATTACTTTTGCAATGAGATATTGAGTAATGTGAATAATGTCACTATGGCCAGCTCTATGATAAGAGTAGATCTTCCTTTTCATATGAACTGAAATGGAGAAATATAATCCTGAACAGAGGCTCTATTTACCACTTAAGCCCTATTTTATGGTTTAAGTGCTGACCTTGTATTGACCCTCAGTACAGGGCTGAATTTCACCCTACAGCAAAAATCTGCTGGCTAGAGCAGTGGATTGAAGAAATTGGGGCTAGACTTTTTACTATTTTCAAGACAATGAAAACATGCTTATTTTAGACAAAAAAATGTTTCTAATTTATGAGAATTTTAGTGCAGAAAGGGGCTACTTTGGAGAAAGTCTTGAGATTAGAATTTCAGTTATATTTTTGGCAGGAGAGCAAGGAAGGCATTTCATTAACTTTTCACTGGAAGTTATATATGGAGGGCATTTGTGTACACAGCTGGGCAGCATAAAACAGGAGGGCTTTGTGTGAAAATATCCTGAAATGAAATTTCATTTCTGTGCAGCTTGGATCTGCAGTTCCTGGGCTGCTGTGGCTGGTTTTGGATGAAGCCGTAGGAGGGCAGTGTTAGGCCCTCACACATTTTCTTTTGCAGTTGATGTAGAAATAGTGAACAGACCACTGCTGGTCCCTGTGCAAAATCAGTGTCACCTTTTACAGCTTTATGTCAGTCAGATAAGCTCCTGCCTGCTCCCACGTATCCATATGGCTGTAATCATCAAGTGATACCAAAAGATTCGTTTGTAGGGAACTCCAAAAGCCACATGCTGAGGCTGGTGTGAATTTAGCTCTGCTTTGACCTCTCTTCCCTCCAGATGGCTGCTAATCTGGCACTAAATCACCACCATGGTGGAAAGAGGCCCTGGTCCATGTGGAAGAAGCATCTTTGTGCTGGTAGCTGTCTGTGTAAGGTGGGAGCATCCCTGAGTCAGCCCTTGGGAGTGTTCCTCATCACAGGGTTCTGCATTTCTAAAGGCTTGACTTGTGTAGCTTCCAGATTTCACAGTACCCTCTTAATAATTATGCTTGGTTAGGAGCCTGGAGAGATTTCTCCTTTGGGGTGTGACAGTCTGCTTTTGCACATCTTGCAAATACATGAAACAAGTGAGAACACATGCCCACGAAGAGGACATTTCTTTATTACCTTCAAGCTGCATTGGTCGTTCTTATACATGTATATTCATATTTTATATACTTTGTCACTTATGTCATTTTGTGCATGTCAGCCAAAGGTATATAGGTGGGGATAGTGCATGTGCTGGGGATTCCTGCTTTAGTGTTTTAGGGCAGAAATGAAGATTCTGCATCATCATCTGCAAGGTTAATTTCTTTGCAAAATATTTTGTAGACTTTGGCATGGAGATCTGTCTATCTCCATCCAAAACTGCCTCCCATCTCCAAAGACAAGCTTGTTCCCATGGGAAGAAACAAGCTGAGATAACTGGCTCCACTCCTACACAAAATAGGAGTCATTGTCTGGCTTTACTCCTATGTCCCTGGCTTCCCTTGAGTTGGTTCTCATCAGTGCTAAGGTCAGAAAAACAGAACTACCTTTTCCTAGTGGTCGTTCATGCCAGTTCTGGTTCATTTGCGCTTGATGGTCGGATGCATACCCTCCAAACACGGATTTTCTCTTCTGTAGTGTGATCTTTAGAGATAATAGTCCTGAGAAACATGCTATCCTATCAGAAAAGATTGCTGGTATATATCCTTCACCTTGACACATCTTGGGATAGGTCTGTGATGATTTACCATCCTTGTTCACTCTCTCAGCACAGGGTATATCTCACTGTCCACACTGAAGTGTGAAGTGCCTTAGGAGGTACAGAGATGTTTAGAACTTAAAGTCTAGCAAACCTGGAGCACACATTTACTAGCCTGCTTCCCTGTTTACATTTTGTTTATCCCATTATAGCTCTACAATCTGTTAGGTGCTGTGGAGGAACTCAGGCCCTTCACCAAACAAAAAGCTTGTGGGATATGCAAGAAATAAAAGGAGAGGACAAATATGCTGTTGCTCATTTAAAAAAAATACCGAGTCTAGGGCCATGATTATGTAGATTTTTCTCTCCAAGACTGTACTGGCTTATGCAACATTATTTTTTCCCATTTTCCTTTAACACTCCTCAGTCTTCTGGTGCACTCATGGCAGGGTGTGGGAGCGCGGCAGTGGGTGCAAATGACTTACTGAGAGGTAGAGGCATGAGTAGGACTACTTATGCTCTTCCTGCTGACACAATAAGATACAATCCTATACATGCAGCCTCAAGTTTTTCTGTAATACTTACCACAAGGCTGGTTTGTTTTCTGTTTTGCTTTGTGGAAAAAAATTTCCCTCAGAATGAGGCTTTGCTTTCTGCTTTTAGAGGCTTCGAGACAGAAGCAAAACATCTTCTTCCAAAAGATAAATAACTGGCAGCCAGATTAAAATCCCCTCTCCCTGCCATGATTAAACAGCTTCTACCATTGAAAGCCAACAAAGTAGTAATAGGCACGTTATTTTGATGTTGACCCATTGCACTACCAGTCCATGACCTATTACTTAGCAATGCATTGGTTAAAAAAAGTGAAGTCTAGGAAAGGTACTAAAGCTGCAGCCTAGTCTATATTTTTTGTTTATTTCTGATACTATGTGGTTCATCGTTGTTTCTTTTAGAAGGAACAAATAATCAATACAAAACCATGAATAAAAATAACTTTTCTTTAACACTGGATGCTAAAAGAACATATAGTCTTCTTACTGTGCCTGATGGAAACAGTACAAGTCTGTTCTCCACAATTCGTTGTTTATTGGAATGCCTGAAATCTATACATGAGGTATTTTTAAAATATTTAAACATAGAAGTTAAGCTTCTGTTCCAGACAATTTGGTTCACCATATTCTAGAAATCCACTGTGTACCACAGAAGTGCTTCAAGCAAAGAAACAATAACAATTTTTTTTTTTAAAAGCAAACTTCAATATATGATAAAACAATGTCAATATTCTTATCTCAAGGAAAATATACTTATGAGACACATTCAGCTATTTATTGACTCAGCTGCTGTACTAAACCTTCAAGGCCCAATTCTGCTCTGTGGTACTTTAGAGAGAAGAAATGCCAACAGACAATGTTTGGCTCTTTCTGAAAGAGATTATGGCTGCTCCAAGAAGAAAACAATCAAAACATTACTAATGATGCAGAAACTCTGGATAGTGTCTCTCCTTAGGAAGGGGAGAAAGAAAACATTGTGGATTAGCATCACTAAGGGAGATGAACTCAGGAACTTGCAGGTGTGAGAGATGCCACCTGGCTATTGGAGTAGGTCTGGACCAGGGGATAAATAACCATATGGGGCTCTGAGGGCCCATGTCATCAGTCTTATCCTGCCCAGAGACGTGGACCAGTTAAAATCCTCCCTACCTTTACACCCCTTTTCTAAGGCAAAAATCTCTTGTCTCTCTTCTAATGGGGTAAAGATGCAGTTCAGTTAGGTGTTTGCTATTTACAAGTTAAAGTGCAATGTTATACTGTAGGATCAAACCTGGATCTCACTCAGTTGTATCACCCTCTGTAATGCTCAAACTGCAAATCATCCGCTTGCAGAGTTTTTACTGAGGTTAGCTGACACCTTGCAAGCAGAGGATTTTGGGTGGCCAGCCAAACAAAGTCTGCATGTTGGCCAGTCGGCTCTGCCTGAGCATGATTTCCATTCTGCGGAAATGCTGCATAAACAATGAAGACTGCAAGGCAGAGACATTAATTTAGATCTACTTTATTGCAAACTCTTTTGCAACTAAAAGATCTAACGTACTACATGAGCTTAAAATAGTGATGCACATCTTACAGATGACATAATAGTAGCTATAAATGGGCCTCTTTTGCAATACCCCGCTACTGAATGTTTTCATAATATGAGGTCACTTGTTGAATCTCCCCAAAATACTTTTGTTAGGATTAGAATATAGCTGTTCTCATTAAAAACTATAATTTACATTTAATCACAGATACTCAGTTTTTATCATGTGCATCTTGGAAGTCTGTGCTTTAAGGCTTATGTTGGGTTTTTGTGTGTGTATGAAATACAGTAAAGTGACTGCTATGATGAGCAAACATAAAGGTGTAATAATCTGTGTACTAACTCATTAAATGATTTTTTTAGAGAGAGATATACTTAAGAACCTTTCCTCTTTATGTGCACAGGGCTAAGAAAGCCCTTACAATCGTATGTCTTTCTCTTCTAAAGTATTTTACTCAATGGAATGTAATATTTGAAATACCAGTATTTTGGTGCAAATGAGTTACTTAATACCTGTCATTTTTCAGCCTTTAAAACTCTATGCCTGTTTTCTAGAACTTCTCTACCTCTGAGGGTCTGTACTTCATAAACTGCTGACAACTGATGGATGCTGGTTTATTCTAGGATAATACACTACCAAATCCAAAGATTCAGGGCTGATCTTTATTTGTGTTTGAGAAAATCAAACAAATAATCCAAGTCAGTAATAGCCTGACTTAATAAAAATTTTCCATCACAATTAAGATGATCCATACTTTCTAGAGGTTTGTAGTTCAGGTAAATAAAGCTTTCCCAGGAATGCAAGAATATCAGAAAAATGAGCTTTCACATTACTTTAAAATTTGGTCATTTAGGCCTTCCTGCACTGTAAGCAAATGTACATGCTTGTTTCATAGAAGTCAAGTTATGGAATTTGTGTCGTAGGAATTCCTGGCCATATTTAAGCTCGTAAGGTATTCTTATAAGCCTTTTTCTTCAAACAAGAATTTTTAATAAATGAGAAATATCTCTGATCTCAAACCAACAACTAAGAACCAAGGAATGCAACTTACCTTTCTTCAGCCAAGAAATATTTTGCTTGTCATGTTCAAAACTTTCTGCTGGTTTGATTTTTACCTTGTCTGTATTGGCTTCTGACATCTATGGGGGAGAAAAGAATTTTGGGATGACAAGTTGTTTTAAAGAAAGTTTCTGATGAAGAAATATATATGGTCTCTCTTTAGGTTTCAGCTATTATAAATTGTGCTTACTTATACAGACACACTTTTTCCTGCAGATTACTGATACTAGGTAATATCTGAGTCATTAAATTTATGTTCTGTTCCTAAATGCTTTATCAATATTACAATGTTGCTGTTTGCAGACAGATTCTTTTGTAATGTAACCATAATTTACCTTATGAAATGAATGAGTGATATGCTTATAGCATGCTGGTAATAGATGTACATATAACACATAGATTCAGTCTGGCTAAAAAAAAAGAGCCATCCAGGCTGCTGTTTATTGTGGTTCAAAGGTGCTGTAAAGCCTGCTGTCAGAGAGGTATAATTATATAAATAATGGTAAATATTTATAAAGATAACTTGAACAAAGTGTATCCAAAAAAAGAGATCTTTACTGCCACTTGTGACAATTTATTTGCTGTAATGCAAAGAATCTCATGCAAGTTACAGTACCTGAGGGTATTATGTATACAGTAGCTATCAGCCCGTACACTGTGGTTTACTTCCATTGCCTGCTAAGAATAAGATTAGACTGTCCAGGCTTCTTCTAACTGCTTTATATTGTCATTGAATCCAGTTAGCTAAAGCATTTCTCTATTTTTACCTGTATCTCCCAACCGGGGGTGAAAGCAGCAGGGATCAGACGCCAAGGAGGAGTGCTTTCGGCCGAATCCCTCGCTGTGTGTTGATGTCCAGCATTCCCATACACTGACAAAACTGAAAGGATGAGCAGTGCACTCTCTGCCTGCCTGCTGTGTGGTGCTAGATTTGTCTTGCTGCCAGAATCAGACAACTTATTGCTGAGGGTTTTCTTTTTTTTTTCCCCTTTTTGTTTGCTGCGTCGGGTAGGAAAGGAGGGGGGTAATCAGCATTCTAACATTAGTGGAGGGATTAAAAAAAACATCCAAAGCTTTGCAAGAAGAGAAATCATTTTAGAAAGGTTATTACTGCAGTTCATAACCCAGTGAATCTGCAAGAAGAGGAAGAAAGTAAAAAGGGAACCAGGAAATTAATAGCAACAAATCAGTAAAATGTGTCAATGTTTTGGCTAAATTTAAGTTTAAAATACTGAAGTTATTAGAAAGGATGTAGAAAATTATACCCTGAATGTCTATTTACAGCTGGCACTTTGACAAAGAAATGGTCTCATCCTGTGAGGAGCTCAGTGTTGTGATGCTTCTGAGCTCAGCAGGGTGAAATTCATCATCACCTAGGAGGGCAGGTCTGCAGAGATGAACAGTCATTATCTCCCTTGCGACAAGGTTGGGTGGTCCCTAGTGGAGACAAGCCCTTGTGCTGGGTGGGCTTGTCAGTAAGCAGCACAGAGGGCAAGGGGAAAGTCCAGAGTACTCCATACATTGAAGGCACCAAAAATTTAAGGTTAGTAGTTGGCATTAAAAATTCTCTTGCTGTAGTTACCAGCACTATCGCTGCAAAGTTAGTAGGAGTAGGGTGAAGCCTAAAGAGAGCAAGATTTTAGGATGTTCAAATGTTGCATCTTACTTTTTCTATAGGGCAAGAAGAAAATATCACTCTGCTTCCCAGAACTGGATTTTGAAAATGGTGGTTGCAGAGCACATACAGAATTACTCCGTTATCTTACTTTTTAAGCAATATTTACAAAATTTCAAGCAGCATTTGTCACTAGATACTATAATCCAAGATCCCAGTGCTTAAGTGTGGCCAATAAATAATAACATATTCCCTCTGTTATGACAATTATCTTCGTCTACTCTCCCATCACATGTCATTCTTGCAAGAAAGAAATGTTTTTCTCTTTTTTTTTAATCTCCTGTGCCAACATAACTGAGATTCTTCTACCATCTTTAGCTAATTGTGAATTGCATGGTAAGTGCCTACTTACATCTCCAAATTGCAATGATTAGTCTTGCATGGTTTGAAAACCTATTTTAAGCAGGGTACTTTGGGAATAATTGCAACCACAGGGGGAAAACGTCTAGGGGTAATATTTTAAGACCTTTTTTCCATTCCCCTTGGATGTAGCTTTGAGAATTGTGTATCTTCAATTGCAGCTCCTCTCTTTTCCCAGAAACACTTATTTTTTTCCATGTTGTTACACCTGCAATGCTTTAAATTTAATCTTTGGTGTTGATTCTTCAGCTGGATTTGTCAGGGCAGGCTGTAGAGCTCCTGCTGGGTCCTAATAAAATCAGCTAGGCTCCACATAGATCCATCTAGACATATGCGATTGCGACTTGGACCTGGTGCTACTGTGCACTTCAGAAGCACTGTTTAAAATGAAGATATGGGTTGTTTTCAAAGCAAACTAGAAAAAAAAAAACATCTTTCTCTAGTTCATTTGGCCCCACCTCCCTGTTTTTCTAGAGAATTTGTCAGAATCCTAATTTCTCCCAAAGAAAGTAAAATAGACAAGAAAACTCCCTCCAAACCCGCAGCTCTGAAACCTGCTGTTGCTTGAAATAACTTCCCCTTCATTCTTGTTCTTTAGGGTTTTTCTCACTTCAACTCTGCTTGAAACTAGAAAGAGCTAGGACTGAGGTAGATTCAGCCTCAAGGAGTATAAGAAACCAGCTTTGCTGGCAACCCATTGCTAAATGTATCCCCAAACCCAAGCAAACACAAGCCTGGCTTTATATCTGTGCTTCAACAAAGATAATGCAGATTACTATTGAGATGACTACTTCATCTGATGTTCTCAGCCGAGATGCCCTGTAGGACCCCTCTGAGTGTTGGTAGGAAGCCTATCTGCAGAAGTTACCTAACCTCAACCTCAGGAAATAGCCCACCATGTTTAAGAAAACAATAAATAACTTTCCTAGTTGGAGTATTCATCATTGCTGATATTCAATTAATGGTCCTAATGTCTTAAATCCAGAGACATTAAATGTAACCTTTCTTAATCTTGATCAACTTCAGTTTTCTACTGAGACGTGTTCCCGTGTGCTATTTTTTGCCTCTTTTAATTAAGTTATTTTGGATAAATGCATCAATATTTCTGTTTCCTAATCAATCTTAAAGCAGTTAGAGGAAAGGCAGGCTTGCCATGCATTCTTAGTAATGCCAGGTGTTGCAAAGCAAGAAAAAAGATGTTATGAGAGAAGGTCATTAATATATTGAGTAAACTTGTTTCTATTAAAGCTATAATTGAATTTTTAAAGCCCTGGCCCATTTTAAACACCGAACTTTAGTTTATGGTTTGATAATTCATTTCACTTTTATTTTATAGGTTTTCTTTATAGCTGTTAAATAGCTATGGGCTATCACTTGCTCATTTTCCTTCCAGATTGTGAAATAGGGTATTTATATGGAGGATAACAAAAAATAATCATAATGCCAAAGTAGATGTGATATCAATCAGTTGCCAGATAAATGTACTGTATCAAGTGCTTGTTGAGATTCAGGAGTATATTTTTCTGGTCTGCTCAACTGGGAGTGCATTCAAGTCTTTGCAGAGTTAGAGAATAGGAAACATTAATAGGCTGTAATAACCATCAAAGCAGGGGAAAAACTTCTTGTTGTTCCTAGCAAGCATCTAAACTGTCAAGGCTTCCTCATGTACTTAATGTTAGGTCAGGAGTCCAGAATCAGAACCCCTCCTGAGTCTCAAGGAGGATGTGTAACCATAGCTAGGAGAGGTTTGGGGTACATTTATGGGTATAGTATTTACAGCATGATACTTCACTACCGAAAGTGACTTACTGAGGATGTGAACTGTGTGCCCAGAAGTTGAATTTTCCACAGCACAGCATTACGTTAAGCAGTTATTTCTTTCTTGCACAACCCAGGTAAAATGTAGCCGCTTGTCCACTGGCAAGTGGCGCTCTGTACCTTTGGAATACCCCACACTGCAGTAAATGTGGCTTAAGGAAAAAAATAATCCTATGATGAAACTATGCCTTTGCTTCCTTTTACACCCTGGGGTGATCATTTCCAATAATAAAGTGAGTATAATGTGATGTGCCCTGTCAAAGTTAAGGAATCTCTTCTTGATCATGTATCTGTAGGTAGAATATTAAGTTGTGGGAACACGACATACAGCCAAATTATTCTGGTGATTGCATGTAAAATGCATGGTTTTTCAGCCGAACAGTCATGTCCTGTGAGTGCTTCAAATGCAAAATAGTCTGTTTATAGAGACTACCTCAAACCAGCACTGACAAATGATCTATATGCTGCAGAGGCTCTGAGCAGTACTGAGACAGTAGGGTTTTATTCCCCATTGCTCTGCCTCTTAGGCACTCTAGATAATTTTTCAGTGACTGTGTCCTGCAAAGGGAGGCATGAGGCTTTATTTCACTTTTCCACTCAGTGCCACTGTAGGTCAGCGAATGTCTGGGAACATGCTTAAACTCGAGAATGGAATAAAGCTTGAAAAGAGTTGCAAAGGCAGGTTAGAATAGAGCTTATCAATAAGTAGTAGATTAAGAATGCTCCATATTTCCACTGAACAGTAAAAAGGGAGTCTTAGTGTCTTTAATCTTCCAAGAGGGTAAGAGGGGGGTTACTTGGTGTCTGTGCTAAAAAGTGATGATGGGGACAACGTTAGGGTGAAAGGCAAGTGTGAAATGAAGTTGAAAGGATAATAGTGTGGTGCTGGGATGGGGAAGGCAGAAGGACACAGCCTCTAAACCTGGAGCCACAGAAGCCCCATCCAAGCTGGGAAAGGGCCTCTGAATGCAGCCATATGATTTGGCCATCTTCCCTCCTACCAGCAGAAAACTTAAAGGCCCCAGTCAAAATTAAAGCCTAGACTTTACAATGGTTTTACAGTAACCTACAAACTATGTGTGCTTTTATATATTCTGGCTTCAAGCAGAAAATCTCCCATGCTGTTTCATTCTGTCCATCATGGGCCAAGTTCTCCATTACCTCTGTGTGTGCTGTTTTTATAGATGATTCTGTATTTCCTTGCCATTTAGGTGGGTGCATTTGAGTGGGAAGTACCTTAAACCCAAGAGCTTTTTAAAAAGTTGATAATTATTATGTTATGGGACAATTTGCCCTTTTAAGGTCCGTTTGATGCATTTGGAAAAGTGGGTTGCAGAGGTCCCAGGGGTGGACCCCTCCAGGCACTTGCTACAGGAGATGTTTCTAGACAAATATTTTAAAGCTTCTTGGGCATTACAACAAAAATCAGGAAAGAGTTGATGCAGGGAAAATAGCAGAATAATTGCTTCAATATCACAATGTCTACTGGTATAAGGGAGACAGGGACGTAACCGTCTCATAGAAAAAATATTTCCTTTGGCACATGGGTGTAACAGACAGTAGTTATATGACTTTTATGGGAGTTTACAGGAGTTTGTGTAACAGGTATAAAAATTAAAGATAGTATCTTCATTGCAACAGTTCATTGCAACTTTCTAGAAACTGGCATCTTGGCTTATTATAAGGCCCCTAGTTCGGTATTTTTACAGGAATTTTACAGAATATCAGGAGACCATTTACTCCTTATTTAGCTTAATGCAGGGTTGACTTGCATCTCCTTGCTGATACTTGGACAACCTACTCTTGAAGTCCCATGAAAATACCCAAGTACATGCCGTGTCCAGGAGTCTACTCCAGTGTTCTTCTATCCTGATAACAAATACAAAAGCATTTCTTGATGTCTAGCCTAACTCTTCCTTTGCTGTAGATTCAACTGATCACCTCTTGTCCTTTCCATTGTGCTTGTGCACAGCTAAGTTCTCTATCCCTTTGTGACAATCCTTTCAGCAGATAAAGGAATGTTATCACATGTTCCCTCAGCTTTTTTCAACACATATTTAGATCACATTCATTAGCCTATGGTAAATCTTCTGATCTTTGTTGGAGCTGCATCTTT